CGGACACATGGTGGCATCTCAAGTGTTGTCTGAGCCCTGCAGAGTGAGGGGTGGCAGGCTGGTCAAACGGGGGGCTTCCAGAACAACGGAAGCAAACTCACCATGCATTTAAATAATCATGAATGTGCAACAAAAAAACTTCAGTGAAAATAAGTTAATGTGTATTAAATGTGTCAAGAAAAGGTAAAAACTTAAATCCCTTACAATGTAAAATGTCTTCTGATTCCATTCGAAGTTTTAGATACAAAAAATAAATTAGTCATTAAAAACTGCCTCTTTAACTTCATGCTTTACTTTGAACTGGTGGTTGGGTTGAGATTGATTATAGGTTTTTATTCATCCTTAAAAAAATGAATTCCAAAATAATTACTCGAAAATTGTATTTTCTCATAAAAAATGGTGAGTGCTGACACATCAAACTCTGGTATAAAACCTGCATCATCCACTGCTGTTTAATTAGTTGGAGATAATCCATAAATAATAACTGGCTTTAATGCTGAGACTGGTTTGTGGCTCTAATGTGTGGGTGTGCTGTCCTGTTAGGTGGAGCAGATGTCCACTCTACTCTGCAACGACAGCTTTGCTCAGTGTTCTTAGTCCACCTGCTTAATGATGCATTAAGTCAGCGTCGTCTCCCCCATCTCATTGCTGTTTTCTGGACTCCGTAGAACTGAACCATTATGCTTTTGTTCTCTTTTAGTTTGTTGTAATAATAAAACTTACCACAGAGATAAAAACCCAGACTTTTTTTATCTTTGACTTACATCTACTCAGTAAAAAAACATCCATAAACGTCGTGCAGTCGCTGCCTAAATAACTTCTTGGAGACTGTGACGTTATCAGAGGTCTACAGGACTCTCGGCGCCCCGGTCCAACATCAGACTTGGAGCCAAACTGACTTCTAAAATCTGAGTCATGCATTCTCGGCCTCTGGTGGCTCTTGACTGTCACGGCCGCTGACAACACCGACTCTATCACGAAAGGACGCAGAGGGGGTCCATTTCTGTCCAACAGAAATCCTTTTTTTCTCTTGTTTTTATTGCTTTTTTTACCTGTCAATCAACTGTCAGTTTTTGTGGCGTTGCAGAACAGACACTTTTATTTTTCTTTTTTCTATGATGCATTAAGTTCGTACTGAAAAAGATTATAAAAGGTATAGATACATGATTGCTATTGCCACCAAAAAAGGTTTATWGTGTCATGTGTCCATTTTTTTTCAGACTGGAACAGGACAAAACGTAAATGTATAAAAAGCTGTTAAAAGTTTTGCATAAGTTCAAATTGTATTTTTTGTGTCTCTATGCATCTTTCTGTCATGGTTTGTGATGATTTTTAACCAATAGTGCAGACAAACACCTCTTGTAGACATTTCTTTTCTATAAAAATAAAACGCTTGCTGTCAAGGCAACAAAAACTTACAGGCAGAACTTGTGGGGATCGACAACCAGCTCCACAACTGACACATAAAGTGTTTAACACCAAACTGAGGAACAAACAAACCAACAGAGACCAACTAATGAACTCAAATGCCGAACACCTGCGCAGAGACAACTAGGATCAGGTGTAGTTGGGCGTGGCAGAACAGAACTGAACTGGAGGACAGAAATATATGAAACAGAACTAAAATAAACAGAACATTACCAACATTGAAAAAAAAACACAGTAAACAAACAAAAGGGTYCAACCCTAACACATTTTTGTCGCTTTATGTGTTCATTTGCTTCTGTTTCATATTCATATTTTTGCTATTATTGCTATTCAACTAATTATTTAACTTAGTTTCACCTTTTTCAAAAAATTTTCAGCAAATGTCAATATTACTTTAAATTTGCAGAGTAAAACAAATATATTTTCTGTTGAAAGTTTATATAGTTTAAAGTAGGGTTTTATGGAACAGTTAATATCCCACCTGTACCTTTCTAAATGGCTTCAGTTTGAAGAAAAAGTTTATTTCTGAGCAGATTGACAAGCTAAAGGCTAGTCTGACCAGGTCAAAGACTAAAATAGATTACTGCCATTTTAAAACAACTCCAATCTGGACAAACTCGTGCAAACAGTGTGTTTTATAAACCTTTGCATTGCCACTAATTTCACATTTAATTTTGTGGTTTTTTTGTTTTTTTTGCAAGCAGAAACTGGCAGCAGCAACGAGTTGTAGCACTGCCAGTGCAGCCTGGATATCATTTCTCTGCCAGAAATTGCTGGAACTGTAACAGTTTATAAAACTGCATTGTGTACTTATTTTATGTATTTTTTTTCTTTTTACTTAACTAGAAGGTCCCATTGAGATAAATCATCTGTTTTTTTTCTGGCAGTACTAGTCAAGATGGTAGAATAAACACAAATCAAGAACAACTATCATTAAAAAACAGATTAACATCATTGGGGGGAAAATAATAAAAAATTAAGCATGGGCTACAACATAAAAATATAAGGAAAACTACACCAGAGAACAGTTTGAAATGGTAATTTATGTGATTTGAGTCACCTTTTTTAGAATGGCAGCAAGCCACTTTGTTTTTGACCCCACTCAGTCTAGCCTTTAGCTCGTCGATTTTGTCAAAATTATACTCAATTTCTCCAAACTGAGGTGATTCAAAGAGCTATCTACAACCATAGATTTTAGAGGCAACAGGTCAAGGAGAGAAACCCCAGCAACACTTTCCAGCTTGACCTGGGGGACCCCGAGGTGTTCCCAGGCCAGAGAGGATACATAATCCATCAAGTGAGTCCTGGGTCTTCCCCGGGGTCTCCTACCAGTGGGCGTGCCTGGAACACCTCTAAAGGGAGGCATCCTAATCAGATGAACCACCTCAGCTGACTCCTTTCACTATGAAGGAGTGGTGGCTCTGCTCTGAGATCCCCCCCGGATGACAAAACTCCTCACTCTATCTCTYAGGCTGAGCCCGGCCACTCTACAGAGGAAGCTCATTCCGGCTGTTTGTATCCAGGATCTTCTTCTTTTAGTCATGATCCACGTCTCACGGCCAGTTGAGTGTTGAACATAGACTCTCAGTAAGAGAGCTCYAGAGCTTTGCCTTTRGACTCAGCTCTTTCTTCACTACGACTGACCAAAGCAACACCCTCATTACTGAGAATGAGACCCCAATCTGCCACTCCATACCATCTCTCACAAACAAAACACCTAGATACTTCTCCTCCACTTGYGGCAGAGACTCCCTTCATCCAGAGGGGACATTCCACCCTTTTCCTGTCCAATCTACAACAGGTAGGATATTACAGGGTTCCCACACCTTGGTCAACATCAAATTCAAGGACCTTTCAAGGACTTTCCAGTACCAATTTCCTCAAATT